TGTGGTTCTGAGAAGAACCGGGGAATAACTCGACGTTTCGAACAGTGTACTCTGTCCGTCTTCAGGTGACCGATGTAATCACAAACCTTGGGTGGAATACCCTAAAACAGGGTCTTGAAGCTGCTAGATTGATCTTGATGAAACAAATGCATATGGGTATATCTGCTATTCCGAAGTCTATTGTCAAGCATGCTTGCACAGACCACGTAGAACAGTCATTGGAAATAGTTCTCAACTTGATTTGCCGCACAGCAGAACTGAAGTGCATAGGAATTCCTTTGTACCCAGAACTTGTAGAGATTGGAACAGGTTTCCTGATACAATAGTCTCAACAATGTCAATCAGCTCTTTTGGGGATCAGGTTCTTGACTTTATCAGATCCAGGGATAGGAACTTAAATTAATTTTGTGTCACTCCGTCTTCTCCCGTTGCTATACATGGATTCAGTGAATCTGTTGCTACATGTACGTACTGAAGAAGAAGCCAATTTCACGTCTATATTTTCTGAGCATATCTCCACAGCCGATGGGCAATACAAATTTGACACATCACCACAAAAGACAAAAACGGCACAATAATCTCGGTAATTCTTGCCATTGTTGTGGACTGTTTCCAGCCGTTATCCAGTGCAGTTCGTAAAGTGTGCACATGTAACTATTCGGTGTATGAGATTCCGAGCTGCATACACGCACATAAAGCATGTGCAACTTTGGTCCCGAGCACACAAAACATCGGGGGTGAGGCTGTGGTGTTCATTGGTGATGGTTGGCCTTACATATACATACACGTGCGGAAGCTGAAATTTTGGATTTGTACTAATCCTGGCCATTTTTTCAGCATTTACATTGCAAGCCTTTGTATTGTGTGTCAACAGGTAGATCTAAAAAAGGTGTCCACCGAATTCAATAAATGTTAGGGGACTCCCAGCGGCGACATATCCAGCTTTTCATGTTGGGAGGGGGGTATTAAACAGCAAGGCATTGGCAAATTTCTGTTGCTACCAAATTAGTCCTATTTGTTGAGTTGTCCCGTTTGAGTTGAGTTTTCCGTTTTGTCCATTTTTTACTGACTACATTTTTTAGGACTGCAAAACTTTTTCCAAAATGCACAGGCACAAATTTGTAGTTTTAAAAATAAATTAGCCTGACGTGAGAGTCAATAATGGCGAATAAAAATCATGATACCTTTGGCCTTCACTTGTAACTTAAAAGCAAAAAATCACATGCATGTATTGTCTTTAAGATTTATTGAATTTTTTTAAAATGGCACATTGTTAGTTGATCCATCGCCCGATAACCAGGTACAGTAGAGTTCCAGCATGACGATAAACTTCAACCTCCCAAAATAAGCCAATGAGTTTTAAGCTCACTGACAATGATGTTCAGCGACATTTCTTCGCTGGCAAAAACCGTTGGCAAAAATATCGAAAGGCACTAATGATTACAGAGGACTCCAACAATTCACTCTTTGCACGCTGCCGCCATAGGCATGCAGAGCTTCGATCCGACAGCTTTACATAATAAATAGAGCTGGTTCAGTGATTCGCGTGTTTGTTGCTTAGTAATTTTGCGCATGCTGTGTTGGTTCTTATACCGTGCGATTGGACAATATTTCAAAAGCTGCGTTGACACGTTCCTGACGGGATTGTGCAAGCTACCAGTTCGAGGCTCCGGCTGCTTGATGTGAGGCAAATTGAAGTAGGCCTATATGAGGCTGAGGGTGTTAAGACAGCATCTCCTCCCTAAAAAAATCCAGATTTTTTAAAAGTCGACACAGTCCAGCTATCTGTCCACTGCTCAAAAATTCAACTACCTACATGTATACTCACTGCCAATTTCAAATTCAGTCTGCTTATTATGGTTCTGGTTTACAAATAGGAAAGGCCAATCAACAGCACAATTTGTGTGATTGCTGCTTACTGCATGTACTCCAGCACTGCCTCTGCATGCTCTGTGTTCCCGATCTATATCATCACTCTCGCCTGTTCATCACAGTCATCATGCCTGCAAAGTTACATTCTTTTTAATTTTACATTTTTCAAGATAAGTTACCATGGTTACTGTTCCATTTACCATATTGTGTATGGTACATGTACATGTACTTTATCAATAAAATATACGAACAAATTAACCACTTCAAAGAGATTGTTGATGGCCGTCATTCCCATTACAAGCACCCTGTATACTTGCATGTGTGACGGCGACTATGCTGACCAAGGTTTTTCTTATAAAATAGCGCATTGTTTTGCAAGTTTATGTTTATAAACCTAAATGTAAAGTTGAACAAAGATACAAACATTATAGGGATAGCCCAATGGGGGTGTTACTGGTCAGTCTGAACCCCCGACCCGACAAAAAACAGAATTTTTTTTATATCAGCAGGCGGGTTATATTATAGCTGGGTACCAAGCACAGCCTCCGTGTAGCTGGTGTGAAACAGTTCTTCACTGGAAATCGGACTTGCGTAGTGCATGCACGCAGCTTGTATTCTAGTACGTGCATGCACTTCACAACTCGAGAACAGATGGATTACGTCTACAACCGTGAAAATCTAACATTGTCTCTGAGTGTAATTTCCTCGATATTGCAGTCCATGGTTTGTTCTGAAATTCCTTAACCCCAACCCCGATGAATAGACATGATAGATAAGGACATACATTTACATGTAAAGAACATGTAACTGTGAAATGAGTACATGTAGTTTCGTCTACATGGTAAACCAAGAAACAAATTGTACAAAATTTTTGGTCGTGTTTTTTATACACCAGTCTGAGAGCCTGGATATCAGTCATAATGTAACTGCAACATCAGTCCCAACTACTGGTAGGATGCATGTACTGGGGCATGTATGGAGGTACTGTAGAAACATGATTACCTCACTGTCCCAACAGCAGAGCTGTAATTGTATTACATGTACATGTAGACGGGCCGGCCCAACTACAGTACAGTGTACTTTTACAGTCAGCAAATTTCCATGGAAAATGTTTCGACTGTCTCCAAGTATTTGTGGCTCCCTGAGAGAATTCATCCAAGTTATGTGGCATTTCAACCTTTTCATTGAAAGCTAGCGCGAGTTGCCAATAATCCAGATGAAAGGGGGTACATGACAAAGTTTCAGCTCAGTGGAATCTGTATATTCTGAGAAAAACAATATTCTAGGATTTTGATTTGAGATCATACCTGAAGTTGCTGTACCGTATTTCGAATTGCACCTGATTTCAGCATCTGTGACATGTTCTCATGTTCAGTCGAATGCAGCTTCCGGTATGTGATGTCACACACTGAAATTGATGAATAATAGTAACCCATGCAGGCATACATGTACGTATGTCGTGTCAAAGTTTGGGCACCCGCCCGACGGCAATTTTCCATAAATGTATCTTTACGCACGTTTTCTGAAATTGCCGTCTTTTATTTTCTCCAAAATAAACAGCCACCCGGAACGAATAATTTTACCTGAGTTTAGTCCCACAAACCCGGTACCGGTACATGTGTGCTTTTCAACAATAATTTCGTCAGTTACGTGTACGTTATGGATAACTGCAAGTGATGGACTAGTGTGCAAATTTCAGCATGTCTACCTTGGCTATAAAATACCCTGTATATGAAATACCCTTGGCTATGAAATACCCTGTATAATATGAAATACCCATGGCTATGAAATACTCTGTATATGAAATACCCTTGGCTATGAAATACCCTGGCCTGTAATGCCAAAAATAAGGCTACATACATGTATGTAAATCAGCTGAACAATTGATATAGCATACAATGCTCAAGACAATTGTCCCTGGACAGGGTGAGTGGCAGCAACACCTGGGACCTGCCATGAGATGTCCAATGAGTAGAGACCTTCATGAGGGGAGTTTTGAGGGATATTCCATGATTTGTCTCTCACCTGATTAAGTCAACTGTACCAGTTCATTGTTGTGTCTGGTACACTGTGGGGGATTACTGTCTGTCTAGACAGTCTGCACATGGTTAAAGACCGTGATGCAATCTTTGTACTGTATCGTGGGCCATTTGAAGCAAGATATGGGACAGAGAGAACCCTCCCCTTTGTGTTGGTCATTGTTTGATCAGAATCTCAGGAATTCTTTACAGACATCTAGGGGGGATGTGTTAGGTACCGGTAACAAAAGTCTAGAGTGTGTATGGGGATTTGACATGTACATGTACGGGGGTACCCTCCGTCCCATATCTTGCCTGGTATATCATGGGCCTACGCCTACCGGTATAGAGGTTCTGCATGGCTGCCGTCTTTCTGGTAACTGCTTTTCTTATGGAAGGACAGCTCAAAAGGTCTCCTCATGTCCTTGTAGAACAAAGCCTGTTAGATAAAATGGCTGCCATGCGCACCCTCTATATATTATATGTACATATCAGGTTTTCTCCATGAATTAGTCCAATGTTGCTGTGTTACCATCATTTTGTACACTATGCACATGTAGGTCTGTGGTAGTGCCTTTGCCTTGGCATTTTGCCAGGTTTTTGGATGGGCGGTAATATACTGGTAGCCCATGCAGAATGAATGGTGTTACATACTGTACATGTACTGTACATGTACATGTACATTACATGTATAGTACATTCATTACAGACAACACTGAGAATACTCTACTGCCACAAAAAGAATGTTGAAATTTGGGGAAAGACGCGGACTAGTGAAAATGCTGGCGGACTAGTAAAAAGTCATCACTGCTGGTCCGGCTGGCAAGTGAGAAAAAAGTTAAGGGCAAACCCTGACGTACAGTATACATGTACATTACATGTACATTCATTACGGACCGCACTGAGAATGCTGTGTTGGATACACTGACGTAGTTGCAAACCTGAACATCCAGGCTGGATGCAAAGCTAAATTACACATACATGTAACATGATTGACTTCCCATGGTTCCCACTGCTGCAAAAAATTTGAGCCAGCCACCCTATCCTAGCCAACTCAGTGGTCAAGACCAGTAAGAAAAGACAAACTAAGCAAGCTTGTTTGTGATGTTTTTGTAATTCTTGACCACACTAACCTCGTCCATTGTATTGAGCAGTGTGTCCCCAAAGCTACCAGCTCTCATCCTGGAATTAGATCATTTGCATAAAAATGAAATGGATGTTAATAAGAAAAACCATATGCAGCAAGGTATGAGACAGAGAGAACCCCCCTGCTTTGTGTTGGTCATTGTCTCGCAGGAATCTGGGGAATTCCTTTCAGACATCTTGGGGGGATGTGTTAAGTAACAGTAGTCTTGAATGTGTATAGGGATTGGACATGTTGGGGGGTACCCCTCGGTCTCATTTCTTGCTGGGTATAAGAAAAACATATACATGTACATGTACATGTAGGCTGGTGCCTGACCCTGCTGTGAACCTGTGTTCATTCTAGCATGTGGTGTCTGGTATTAAAACACAGAGTCAATCTTCACAGTGTTTATTTTGGGGACCACATTTTTTTCCGACATTTTCGCATTTTCCTAATTACCGGTATGATCAAAATGGCAAAGAGGGATTGCTTCAAAAGGAAAGTAGATGTACATGTAATCATTCACAGCAAATGTGAGAACACACTCTGTACACAAGATAAATTGTTTCCTCATTGTAGCTGCATTCAGAAAAGATTCCTTTCCAGGGATTGCTACTGGAAGCCATGCCAGAAATGAGAGTTACCACTGGGGATGCGGTTGCCTCAAACATTGACCCATGCACTTAGAATGAAACAGTCCAAATACATGTATTTGAAAACAAATGAAATTGGATTTCCTTACAGGAATGCCAAGTTACGTTGTTGGTTAGTAAAGTTGAATCTGACCACAAATAATATCCTTTTCTCCCCTTCATTTAGGAAACGAGGATCTTCCACCCCAGCAGATGGCGCAACGCAAGAGGAAAGCAGTGTGAGTGTACCCTATATTATTGTAACAAGGAATTTAACCGTAACAGTCCCAAATCCACCAATTTCCATACGATCTTACATACATGTACACCCTTGAAGTGTAAGAAAAAAAGATAGTTCTACACTGTAGGCAGACATAAAAACATACGCTTACATTCCAAGAACTCTTTCATTTAATAGTATTTGATTCAAGGTCAAAGTAGACTGACCTTTAGATTATTTGACAAAGGTTGTCAAAAATGTAATTTCAGTAAACTACATGTAAATGTTGTTACACGTACACATAAACATGTACAATTTTCACGTAAGTGTGCCATTATCACATGTGGGCATGTTACAAAAATACAGTGAACCATCTTGCATTTAAGCAAGTTCAAAGCCTCAACAACTTTTTTTAAAAATTGTATAGGGGGGCTTGTTGTTGTACATACATGTACATCTACGGTACTTCATGCTGGCTGACGAATGAACACATAGGGGTTTCTTGTGCCTGTAACGTGGCAAACGTTTAAACGTGTTCTGGCAAATTCTGTATTGATACACATGTAGTACTGGGGCGATATCTACATCTATACTCATCCCGGTGCTTGAGTGATTTCCCAGTGAGTTTGTACCGGCGCGGAGCATCAAGCTAATGCGTAGAGGTTGAGCATGTGTGGATCAAGCCATGATTGGGCAAATGTCATTCTGTGACATAGGGAGGTTAAAAATGAAGTGAGAAGTGTCACACAGATCTTGGACAAATGACCACCAAGGGTCATCATTTGTAAAGTCCAACTTTGTAAAAGACTGCGGTTGTGGCATCATGTGGTCTTTACAAAGTTGGTACATGTACATTCAGCTGAAAAATAGTACTGAGCCTAGGACAAGTTCATTGTGAAATAATAGCTTTGGAACAATTAACACAGGTTCCGTTTACAGGTGTAGGCTGATGTGTACAAACACTCTCAAGCTTCAGTGATCCCCGTTACTATGACCATGATTGAGATCATGAAATTCACATGCATTATGTACACAATACGTGTACATGTATAGTACGTGCATACACATGAACTGGGGTACATGTACCATATCATTATCAATGTTTCCTTGATGGATAATGGTGCAGTATTCTAAAATGCATTCAAACTAATACATGTACGGTACATGTACCTCAAGATCACAGACACATACCGGTACATAAAGTAATGTGATCACAGGATTATTTGGAGATTAAAAATTTGATTCAAGGCACTTCCATATTTCTGACTCGGATAATTGTATGGAAATCACCATAATACTCGAACAATTACATGTACAGTATACTGTCCTATTACTATCACTAGCAAGTATTGAATATTGTACTGCTGCACATTAATAACGTTCATGGTGAATATTACTTGAATGTCATTTACATGATACATGTACATGTACCGTAGGGTGTGGAAAGACTGCATTTTTTGTACCATCTCACTCACTCTAAGTAAAGAGTTACCCCCAAATGTGTACACAAAAGCCCAGACTCGCATGCGTGTTATAACGCACGGACACTGCAAGAACCCAAGAATAGGGCTCTCTTCATTCATGTCATTAAAACAGGCCGGGGGAGGGGGGGGGATGTACAGGTACAAAGGATGATCATCAAGCGGCTGTACTCCCTCAGGAGGTGTGTGTCGTGACTGGCCAGTTTACTCTCTGCCAAGAACGAACTCAGAGCGTACTCTGGTCACGTACCGTACCTTGATCAGTTGAACGAGGGAGTTCATTAAATATATTTGCGGCGCATTCTCTGCCAGTCTTGGCCGGATGCTGGTCCATTGTTGGAATTGATACCGGTACAAAGGAGAATTAGATATTTGCATAATCAGATTCAGTAAGTGCTTGTTTTATTCACTCAATTTGTTGTTTCCTCTTTTTTTCTCCTTTCTTGGCCATTTTAACTGCAATGAATTTAATAAAATTTCCTCCCAGAATACTTTCAGTGGTCACGCTCAGATGGATACTAAAAGTAATGTATTTGTACATAATTTACTATGTACATGTACATACATAAATTGTGTGCAAATCCATGTTCACATGGAAGCTATTGCATTGGAAATAAAACTGATAAGGAATGTTAAGGTGTTGACAGAAATGGTATGCAGTACTTTGCCTACCCTGTATGGTTTGTGGCTCCATGGATGCACATGTTCTGTGCCTTATTCTGCGGAATGTACATATAAATACACCTGCCGGTACAGGTGTGTAGCATTCCCATTGTTTACATGTAGTTTGTAGAAATACATTTACATGTATTTCTTCCTATTTTGAAAGCGCTCTCAGGTGTTGTTTCTCTTGTGCATTTTGTTCCTTCCGTACATTGTACAGGCCTGGAAATTACAAGTTTAACTTGTTATTTTTGAAGAAGGTAATATATATATTGTACATTAAATAATTGCATTTTTAATTAAGAGATGTTTAAAAATCTTATGATGGAGACCACTTTCGATCAGTAGGGCTTAATTCTGATTCATAAACTTGGAGGTACTGTGTTACATGATAGTACTCAAGTATAGAACATGTACATTGTACATGTATGGTCTGTCTGTGTGAATCCAGGCTTACTATTGCATGGCGCTCATAGAAGCATTTGTTGACCCTGCATACTATAAATTCAAGGAGTTTCTACAGAGTACTGCTGGTACTGGTTCTCCTTGCTCGAGTGCCAATATCGGCATCTAAATTGCAACCCGCTGTTTTTGAGGGGCAACTGAAGAGCACCCGGGGAATATCTAAAACGTAAGAGAGGTGGGTAGGTTTAACTTGCTGTGTACACAAATATCCGGTGGCTAAAAAGGTTTTAAAAAAGGTCAGGGAGGTGCAGTACCAGACACATACATGTACATGTACTGTATATGTACTGTACTTGTACATGTGTTAAGACATCCACTGATTAGTATGCATAAGGTGTGCATTTACATGTATTGTAAATGTACTGGTACATACAGGTATCATGTCCATCAATGCAGTGTACACGTGTGTGCCCACATATGTACATGTACATGGACATGTACAATGTACATGTAACTGATTTGTATCAGTACATGTGGAGGGGTGTTCACTCAATATGTACAGGAGTCTCTCCTTTGTTTACATTGAAAGTACTGTGTACATGTACCCTGGTAAACATCTACATGTATGTAGGGTAACACCTGTTATGTCCATCACATAAGGAATTTAAGTGGCCTTGATTCTGTGTACACAAGAGATGGAACAAAGAGGGTTATAACAGTGAGGCAAAGAGATATTTTACAAGAATAACATATTAACACAAAATATTGAATTGAAAATATCTCTTATGTGGTCTATTGAAGTTCGTATTCTCAATAATGTTAGAAGGCACAGTACATGTACATCTGTAGGTAGCAGTACATACTGGTACATGTCCCTGTAAGTTCAAAAAACATGTACGAAAGTACTCAGTATTGGCATCTTACCTGTAGTTAAACAGTTTGCAGTTGGCAAATACATGAAAGAACAATTAAAACTCTAAAACTACAGACAACTTGTCAGCAAACGAATATATCATTCATAAGTAAGAATATACATATACATGTGCATTAGGCTTTTTAACGTGTACATGGACTAAGGGTCGAAATTTGCGTTTAATTCACTGACTGTTTAGCAACATTTGAATTTGCTCTTTACACGTTTGGCCAACACAAACAACAAAGGCCATGCATGTCAGCTCTGTTTCCACCTAACAAGTACATGTAAGTTTTTTTAATGCAAGTACAGTACATGTAGCTCAACAAAAATGCATATACATGTATGTCTTATTATTGACGACATAGGACTTTCAAAAAAACAAAAAAGAAAGAGAGAACGGAGGGGAGATGGATGCAATTTATCACTGTGTAATTATGAGGAATACATGTATATTCATTTGGCCTGTTCATCAGCAGTATACATGTATGTTCTTTCTTCAAAAAAAGATTCAATGTTTTGTGGAAAAAGTTATACACTTTTTGCCATAATTAATGTCAAGAAAAGGAGGTGAAGGAACATTATTTAATTTATCCAGGGCTGTACAACAAAGTGGTAATCCTTCACTGCTAAAAGAAAGCCTGGCTACTGGCCAGGCAGCATCCAGGCAGTGTGCCCGAGGGGGCCCAGGATTTTCCATGGTAATACTGTTTCTTGCCTAAATCTGGAACTGTGCAAGTGTTACAATCCTACCAGTGGCTGCTTTGCTTGCAAAGAATCAACCATTGTGTCTAACGGAATAATAGAGCTGTCAATCACTCAGGAGATTTCTTTTTCTGCAGAGCTGGGGGTAATTTATTCTAGATTTTTTTTTTTCATTGGGACTTGCCGAGCCACTTGAAAATAATCATTTCTTCCCATTTACATGTATTTTTTGGTGTATTGGCGTCTACGTCAGATAAAATCATGATATTAAGTATTAAAACCACTGAATAGTTTTGTTCGATGTTTAGACAAATTAAACCTTGGGCAGGGTACTTTTAGGCTAGACTGGAATTTTTTTCTGCTCGCTCCAAAAGTAAATACTGGTAGAGTCCGTTTACGCTTTTGCCTGACCTCAAAAACGAATAAAGTGGGAATTAATGGAATTTGATATGATGCAAATACTGGCTGAATACACCAGAAAAAATACCAGAAAGTAAATTTTAACCTTTTTTATTCGAGTGAGATTTGGCTGTGCAAAAAAGCAGATTTGCAGCACCGCGACGGGGATGCATCTCACTTGTGATTGGACAGTCACCATGTGAGCGGTGCGCCTGTGCTGAAGCTGAGCGGGTGGCGGCACCAAAGCTATAGCCACGGCACACACAAAGCTTCCTCCTTCCAGTTTGGTCACCACATCAAAAATTGAACTTTGTGAAAACTCCAACAATTAGTTCCATTTAAAGGTTTAGGAAAATCTCTAAACGGATGTACATGTATATTTTTTTTGTTTGAACGTCTGACCCGTACGATGTACCGGTAATTCAATATGCTGTACTGGTATCCTCCACATGTACATGTACGAAAAAATTAATGCCATTAACCTTTTTTAGTGATTTTTCTCCTTTTAGTTGACAATTTAACTTGCTCCTCCTAAGTACAATACATGTGTTTGTTGTTGGTGTCGGCGTTATTGTTTTTGTGGCTGTCGTACATGGTTTATTTGGAAATTTGTAAATAGTTTTGACTGAATATTAATTATTAATAATTTCAATGGTTTTAATATTATCAATCATTATGAGTCCCACGACTCACTGAATTGATATCGTTTTTAAACCCAAATAAATAAAAAAAAAATAAAAAAGCATGTATGATTAAAAATCTAGCTTGGTAATTTCCCACATGCAGCTCCATGAGCTCCATTTAAAAGTGACGGCACATACATGTACTGGTACATTGGTACATGTACGTACAGTGAACGTGCACAGGTACTGTACACGTAGGTGTACATTTTATCAGTACATTGTGCATTGTGCTCTGAAGGTATATGCACCGGTACATACATGTATGAAAGGAGTGCTGGGACACTATTGCCGCATACCGGTACACACATGTAGTACATGTACATGTATTACATGTACATGTACTACATGTACATGTAATACATGTAAATGTACTACATGTAAATGTACTACATGTACATGTAATACATGTACATGTACATGTAATACATGTATTACAGAGAACGATACTGGACAAGTTTTGAATGCTTCGTTTGCTTGTTCCTAATGTAATAAAGGTGCTGTATGCTTGGTTCTTTCGAGATATCAAGGGAAGAAAAAGTAGCAGTAGATTACTGGCATGTACAGGTACATTCATACATCTTCCGTAGGTCTTCCATTGAGTTTGATGCAAGTGAGGGTTTTTTTCTCAGGCAAGTCTGGTTTAGTTATTTTTTTCCCATGTTTGTTTTTTCAGCTCCGAGGACGGAGAGGATGAAGATACAAGTCCCAGCAAGTTCTCACGGTAAGCCGCCAACAATGATCCGTGATCTTTGTTACGCACACATGATGGCTCTAAATGGTGGTTTTGGTCATTCATTCTCCTCGTCAGAAGATTATGTTGCCTGGAAGTGAAATCATCCAAAAGTGCAGTGATTCCAACAAGTCATTGTGCAGACAGTTGTTGGGAGTCTTTCTCAGTAGAGGTCCATTAGTATGAGGAAGTGGTTTGATGAAAGACTCGAGTGGTCTCATGTACTGTGAATCACTCATAAACGATAAACGGTTTTAACTGTCGACGTATGAGCTGTGTACCAGACAAAATGCCAGAAAATAAAAATAAAATGGTTGAACGCTGGTGCCATGTACATGCATCAAGAGAAAAATAGTCTGTGCTTGCTGGACAAGAATCCCTGCTTGATCAGCTTCTGAAAAAGCTGTCAGAGAGCTGGTGTCCAGTCTTCAGCCCAGATGTTTGTCTACACAGGTACCGGGGGTATAGATTTGCATGCACCAGTTTTAGTTCACCACCTTTTTCATTGCTATTTATTTACAAAAATGGTGCTGTTAATTGAAGTTTCAGGGGATTTATGTTTTTGGCAGAAGTTGGTTTCATGTTGTGAACAATGTGTTCCTTTGGTTGTACATGTAGCTCACAGTTGCATGAAAGAGCACGCCCCCCTTGTTTTAGTTAAAAAAAAAAAAATTCCTACAGCTGCATGCTCCAGCCCTAAAGCAGCAGGGATGTTCTGGCCAAAAAAAAGTCTCCCGTCTTTCTTTTCCCACAGAAATGACGAGGACAAACCCGACAAAGAGAGGTTTGCAAGGTAAATATCTTGACAAGCACGCACCAGCTCGGATAAATTACTCATTGATTTGACTGGAGTACTAATGCCGTGCTAAGTTACACATGTATTCCGCCCGATCCGGAGCTAACAGACTTATCGTACATGCGGGTACACGTCCTGCGGTCGGTCCTCGGACGAACAAAATGAGAGAGGAAAAAAGGATAACTTCCCACTTGTTTCCGTTGCGCACATACATGTACATGTAGTTGGAAGGATGTTCCGTGTTTTCCTTTTGTGTGGTCAGCAACCTGTGGTGGTAGGAAAAAAGGAAATGAGAATGTAGAAAAAGGAATGCAATGCATGTCAAGTTTGCTGTTGGTGACATTGATGCTACACATGCTGTATTATTGGTTGAAGGGAAATGTCAGAAAAGTAATCCAGTTATTACATGTAACCCTTATAAGGAATTATTGCAAAGACCTGTGATTCACTTGTGATAGACTTGGGAATCATACAATATATTCCTTGAAAAAGAAAAGGAAAGGAAACAGAGCAAAACAGTAAACAAAGCAAAACAAAGACAAACAGAACAAATGAAATGTTGTATTTCCCTGGAAAGTCTGTTAAAATGAGAATTTAACAGAATTGAGTAGAGACCCATGTCTTTTCCAAATGCATGTGCTGTTCATTTATGCAAAGAAACTCAACTTTTTCAAATAAGAGTAACAGCAGGTATGCATATACACGTGCACATGTGCTGGTATGCAGTCTTCGAATTCTGGTCAAATGTCTGGAAAAAACTGCATGCAAACAAAGCCTGAACACACAAAGTGTACAGGGGAAGGCTGAGATATTTTGAAACGACTGATGTTTTGATTTTTGTATGCTTTAAACTTGAAGTTAGTTTTCATGTACATTTACCATACATGTATTGTAGGGACCAAAAGACTGTAGGCTGTGGGAACCAATGGAAATGTGCTGGACATACTGGTACATGTACACATGATCAGTGTATGTACAATGTATGTCCCATGCGCAGCTTGGAAAAAATGCTTACTGTCATCTTTAATTGTTTTGGTTATTTTGAGAAACCTAAAATTGTATATGAACATTTTGATACACGTTACACACAATACACATCAATGCACAGGCGCAGGCGCCGCGGCAGGCACGTGCACCTGGTGAGCCTGTGCCTAAGCGTTATAGTAAACTGCGCAGGTGTATCGCTTGCTCAAATGGCACCCATGGTGATTACATCTTTTGGGCAGAGTTATCCATATTGAGCCTTTGGCGCTATACGATCTTTGGTGTAAGAGTACTCAACTTTGTAAACATGTACATGTACTCATAATTAAGGGTACATCCAGATTAGATGCCTGCATGTCTTCAATCCTTGGCAGTTTTTTTTTGCAAGAGTACATGTACATGTACATATACATGTATGTACTTTTCTTGTACAAGTACAGTTCTGGCAGCCATTCCCCCATAACATATGGTACATGTACATGTACGTGCCTGTGCACATGTATACATGTACATGTACATGTACACACGTACATGTACATGTACCTACATGTAAATGGGAACCAAGCTGTCTGAAATACATGTACATACATGCACTGTACATAGCAAATACTGTACACGCACACATTGTACATGTTTGGTTTGCATGAAGTGTTAAGATTTCATTTGTTCGTACACATTTTTGTCGGTTTGCTAGCAACATTTTGCATTGTTTGGCAACTTAATGGTACCACATTTCTAAAGGACGCATGTCAACTTGGTACCAGTGCGGCACATGGTCTACGTGTACGCTGTTCCAGACAATTCTTGTATGCATGACTTTTTGTCAGAATTATCACTTTTGTTGGATTTGTACAGGGTGATTTTGCTTTGTACCCGGTATGCCTCATGCATGTTTAAATGTCCAATGTGAAACTGAAGGAAAGCACGAACTTGTTGATATTTGGCTGCATGATGTACATGTACGGTACATTGTTCAGGAAAAGTCATGGTTCCATGTTTGAAAAGTGAATTTTGGTCTGGAGATTTGTTTGGCAGGTATAACTTTGGGTATGAATGCTTTGGATCAAGAAATGTGAAATGCTACTTACCGTAAACTTATGCACCTGTACACTGTGCAAGTGTACAGTGTCTTTGTGAAATTGTTAATTTCTCTGATAAAAAATCTTTGAGTTGTGTTTACAATTTAAAGTGAAGATAAATGCTTTATGGTGCACGAAATTAGGCCCAAAAAGTGGTTAGAAAGAACATGCACGGGTGGGATGGATTTCATTCTACCAACACACGCTTTTGATGGGTCAGTTCGTAAGTCCGACGCCTCATACATGTAGGTCCGATGCCTCATAAGTCCAACGCCTCATAGGTCCAATGCCTCATAGGTCCGACGCCTCTTAGGTCCGATGCCTCATAGGTCTAACGCCTCATAGGTCTGACAAATGCATTTAAAAGTTGCAATGGTTTTTCGGCCCATGGCATAGATCCAACGCCTCAAAAAATCTGACGCCTCAAAAGTTCGATGTTTGATTTGACGCTCGTTACGAGCGTATGAAGATGGCACTAGGAACAAGACTGGTTCCCGGTGTCAAGTATGGTGTACTATTTATGGCACGCAGTGTCACGTCGCGCGGGCCCGCACTCCTCCATGTTTTACAGTCGATTGCACTGACGTCTCATATTAAGTCCTACACCTCGTTGGTCCGACGTCAGATTTATGAGCTGTCGGACCTTTGAGGCGTCGGAACTACCCGATATGAGGCTGAAAAAAAATTGCCCATAAATCCGACGCCTCATAAATCAAAAAATTCAGACTTTTGAGGCGTTGGACCTATGAGGCGTCGGACTTATGATACACACCCCTTTTGATAAGTGCACCCTTTCATATGTAGCTGTATTGTGGAAAAATCTATGACAAGTTTACCTTTACATTTCCTTCCAACATTTGGCAAAAAGTGGTCAGAAAATTGCAGACATCTGACTGTAATTTCACTTTCTGCTTTTATTACACACATGTACCCTAGGTACCCTGTACTGTAAATCCTACTCATTTCTTATTAGCGGTTAGTGGATGGCAAGTTGCATTATGATACTTGTGTGAGGACACAAATGTACGGTATGCTGGTACCGTACATCTCTCTGCCCATTGAAAAAGCTCCCATCTTAACTTCATATCAACTGTGCAGGTTTAGAGCACCAAGTTCACAAACTTTTGAAGTCCCATTGAGTTTGGTGCTGCAGGCATTCAGTCATTTAATGAGAAACGGAAGAGACTCAACTCAAGATAGTGTACGTGTACCGGAACACGTACCAAGGGGTGTAGCATGTTGGATGGGCAACATTATACACCATGTACATTTGTCCATATCATGCATGTACATGTACCGGTGCATGTACCATATGGATCTACATGTAGCAGGAAGTCTAGAATATTTATGTACATTTATTTCAATGCTTCCATTGATTTTTCAAAGTAGTAGAAGAAAGTTAAATGTACATCTTGACACTTAATCAGTAAGTACTCATATACATGTAGCAGTTGGCAACATGTACCAGTACATAGGTCAAAGGTGGAGCAAAAGCATGTGTTCCCTTGGCTACGCACAGACAGAAGACAAGACGAAGAAAGACTGAACATGTATTGCCAGAGATACATGAATACAGGTGTAAGACAGAACACATAACAGTTGAAAATAATCCTTAATTTTGTACCACATTTTAAATACATTAGTCATTTCAACATACTTGACCAGAGTGAAGGTACAGTGTATGTCGTTACATGTTTGAAAACAAATTCCAAATCCTTTTCACAGACTGTCGCAAAGTTTGACCAGAACTCAAATGTTCAAGTTTTGTTTTTGCTTGGATACCATTTGACCTTCAGTTCACAGAGCTGCCAATATTCCTTTGAATTACACAACATTAAAAACAGTTTAGTGGTACAAGTTTATAGTATTTTGATAACATGTAACTGCACATTGACAAACAGGGTTTTGCATTGGATGTTGGATTTTGCATTTGTTTTGAATACGCTCCCCAGCATAGATTTTTGTTTGCTACTTTGGCTTTGGACCACAGAAGTTTATGCGTTATTTTTAAACAGCGAGTTGAACTTTCTTTTTCCAATCACTAAGTTCTTGTGTACCACAGCAAGCTGCTGTGTGTCTTGGATTGAAACCCGATGTTCTCCTAACGTGGTACTCATACCAAAAAATATATGTAATTACTAATAACGACTGTATTTGGGTTGTTGGTACTCCACTGTGCATGTACATTGTAATTTATGTATGTCAGGTACATACATGTACAGTGTGTGATAAAGAAGACTCTATGAACATGGCTAACCAAAACAGTATGGTGCTACATGGCCACATGCAAGTGCAGCTTTTGGAGTCAGTTTCCCAAACTTACAGCAGTTTGATCATGGGAAGTGGCTCTCTGTGTTATGAACTCCTTTCACAGGGAGAACCACAGTGAGATTGAGCGGCGCCGACGGAACAAGATGACGGCCTACATCACAGAGCTGTCGGACATGGTGCCTACCTGCAGTGCCCTCGCTCGGAAGCCCGACAAGCTCACCATCCTGCGGATGGCCGTCTCACACATGAAGTCATTACGGGGTAAGGGCTTTGATCAAAGGAATGAGTTAAAAGTTACAGGGACAGCTCCTGCAACGTGTATCCTCTTCACATTTAATTTTTGAGTGTTCTGTGTGACGATACAAATTATGACTGTTTACGAGTGCAGTGAATAATTTCGTAATATGACCGATCAAACGTTCAAGTAGAATGGAACAAGCCGCTAATTTCTTTTCTCAGTCCATCACAAAAACGGGACTGATTGTCTAATTTTGAATCAGTTCACATGGTTGTTTAGATGATTGTTGGCGTCTTGCAAAATTGTTCTCGTTGTTTGACAGCATCTTTTTCTTTATATCAAATGCATCAGCATCATCTACGAGTTCAGATTTCTTCATCAGTTACATTTACATGTATAATAAGATGGAACAGAGCTTTTCTTAGCTTGCTGCCATTTTGTGCGAAAAGCTACATGGTAGTGCCATCTGTTTGACGATAAAAGTACTGCATGGTTCTGATGGAATGCATGTGCAGTGTGGGTATTCTCAATTCATTGGGATGAATATTTCATGTCATGTGATCTACAAATGTGCCAAACAGAATCTGGGGATTTATTTTGGTTGCATAGCACCAAGTGTTGCAGCGGTTGTGAACTGTGATGTTGAAATTGACAGTGTCTTGCTATCACTGGAAATTACATGTACATGTACGATCAGTACTTGATGACTTTTATCAATGCAGGAACGGGCAATACTAGCACGGCTGGTACCTACAAGCCGTCCTTCCTGACGGATCAAGAGTTGAAACATCTTATTCTTGAGGTAAAATATAATGAAGTCTCGCCAACTTTAAACCTCTTAGATCCTACAAAATCCACATGGTGGTTCTGAAGGATTGTGCAGGAGACAGGCAGATGGTTTGATTAAACCACTTCGCGCTGGGGGACCCGGTTTCGGGCACATAGGCTTTATACACGAAGCCAGGGAGCTCGAAATTGGACAAAAGAGTTGGCCCTTGTAACATAAGACCATACTCGGGAACAAAAGACTGAGCTGCTGGGAATTGCCAACATTTTTTTCAGTTGTCAATAGTGCAGAAAATCCATCATTGTTTAGAAAGATTATCCTTTTGTTTGTGGCATTCAGCGTGAGCGGATTACCACCAGGGACAAAAGCGCTCCAGCGCTCCAATGCAATACAATAACGCGATACAATAACGATGCACGCTAATCTTGCCCCTATTGAAAAGACGTGAGCAGCGCACTATGCCAGTTTCGGAAACAAAAGAAAATAATGTAACAGGGCACAACCTAGGCTCTTTTTACGAGGCGGCAGGCCTGGCTAAAATATTCGGGCGTCAGTAGATGTTGTCTGTCGGATTAGATTAGACACCAGACAGTCATTTGTGTAGGTGTAAATGTCCCGTAAATGAAGTTATTAATTTTTTAAAGAATTTTGAAAACAGAAAAAAATGAATAATCACCTGACCCAGCAGCATCAATATGGATAGATAGGCCCGGGCAAAGTGGTTAAGGTGCAGCCTGAACATGGATAGATAGGCCTGGTGCGAAGTGGTTAAGGCGCAGCCTGAACATGGATAGATAGGCCCGGCGCGAAGTGGTTAAGGCGCAGCCTGAACATGGATAGATAGGCCTGGCGCGAAGTAGTTAAGGCGCAGCCTGACCATGGATAGATAGGCCTGGCGCGAAGTGGTTAAGGCGCAGCCTGGCAGCCATTAGTTTAGGTCATGCTGCTGCTTGAAATAGGCTATTGGTTTCTGGAAATTTCGGGGGGATATGGTAAGGTTCCCAACAAAATGCCTTAGGAGAAGGGGACAAAATGTGTGTTAGAACATAATGATATTGTTGATGAGTTTAATGTTTTCCATTTCTCTGTCATGTTTTTAGGCGGCCGACGGTTTCCTATTTGTAGTTTCGTGCGACAGCGGGCGAATCATCTACACATCAGATTCAGTCCTCCCAGTCTTGAATCAGACACAGGTATCTATATATTAAATTCCCATTTTTTCGCAGAGAAAGGATGTATTCTGGTTTACGTACATATACGTGAATCACAGCCCATTGTGTCAGAACAAAGCAGAAAAGGAGTCAGGGGCCACTACTGATCATTTTATACATTGCATAGTATCTTAGGTGGTGACAGGTTTTTCCCCCAGCAAACCAGAAGAGTGAAAACGTGTGATGAGATTATTCTTGGAGACAGATCCTGGAATCAGAATGTTGAAACTCAATATGGCTGTGAATGTAGTAGGCCATTTTGCAACTATTTTTGCATTGAAAGCTTCAAGAGATGGACCCTTCACAAGGCATGTTACAGTGTAGATTAACATCGGCAAAATTTATCCCTCGAAGTTTCTTGCGCTAGTTGACTTGACGAAAACGGCAGCCAGTCCACCAGTCTGTGCAGCGTTCCCATAGATCAGCTGATTTCCTCCCTTTTCCCCACTTCCTGTCTGGGCCACTTCAAAGTGATACGGCAGTCTAGAAAGTCTAGTGAATCTTCAGATTCTGGAATTTTCTTCTTTCATTGGGAACCACCAAGAAAATGGACTTGCCATAGAAACTGGTCATTCCTGACATAATAAATGAAATCTCATTGCTCATTGAAAACATTTCTGCGAAAGATTTCAATACCCATTGGCTTACTACCATGCAATTTCGTAATAAATCGGTAAAGAAAAGCAAATCTAGGACAGCACAATATCAAAAATTGTGAAGGTGTTATTTTTTTACACAAACCAATTCAACATTGAGGTTTTCTCTCTGGAATGACATCAGAGATTTGCCCCTGATGATTGACATTTGCCCTGGCATACAGCCAATGGTCAACCAAAGCACATGTTCCTCTTAAAAAGGCAAGACATGGTATAACCAAGAACCCATGCCTGTTACCATGGTCTTTTGGTGTTGTACAGAGTGACTGGGTAGGGACGTCCATCTTTGACCTCATCCATCCCGACGATGCGGATAAAGTGAGGGAGCAACTCTCGACAACAGAGTCACCGACCAGTGGGAGGATCCTGGACCTGAAAAGTGAGTCAAGGGGGTGAACAATGTCATTGGCTAATTT